ACATGTCATATACATACCACAGCACACAGGTGGACACACACAAAGATGAAGACACAAGCATGTAGACTCACAGAAACCCAGACACAGACATCACAACTCCAAGATTTCAGAAAAAGGTGTTGCTTGTGGATCCAACCCCATGAATAACAATGCGCATTTCATACACACAGTCACAGAGACTGCTTTTTAATTTTTAAAAAAAACTATTCATTTATTTGAGAGGCAGAGTTACAGACAGACAGAGGGAGAGACAGAGAGATCTTCCATCCATTGGTTCACTCCCCAGATGGCTGCAACAGCCAAAACTGGGCCGATCTGAAGCCAGGAGCTTGTTCTGGGTCTCCCACGTGGGTGCAGGGGCCCAAGGACTCAAGCCATCTTCCACTGCTTTCCCAGGCCATAGCAGAGAGCTGGATCAGAAAAGGAGCAGTTAGGACAGGAACCCGCACTCAGGTGGGATGCTGGCACGGCGGGAGGAGGCTTATTAGTCTACTATACCACAGTGCCGGCCCCACAGAGATTCTCAGATAGCTGGCCTCAGACATGCCAACACTCACAAGTCACACTCAAACACACACTCAGACACCCCAAAACACACTCTTCACCCTGACACAGCCTGCACTGTCACACACACACATGGATGATGGTGCACACAGTGATGACACACGCCAACGATCGCGTGCCCATACACACAGGCGCGCGCACACAAACTCCCCTCAACTCCCTGGTTGCTTTATTTTCCCTGGGAACGTCCGATCCAGCCAGGGCAGGGGCAGCCTTAGGACCTGGTTATGGCCTCCCCCGAGCCCAGAACCACTGAGCCCCTCTCCCTTCAGCCCGAAACCCCAGGAGCCCATGAGCTGAAGCCTCTGGCGGACCCTGGAGGCAGCCTCCGCCACTGCTGCTGGCAGCCCCGGGCTGGCAGGGATCCCCAGCCGGCTCCTGCCTCCCCAACCTCCCCAGCCCGCGCCGCTGCCGCCGCCGCCGCCGCGCACTCACGGTCTCACGCGCACGCGGGGGTCCCATGGCTGACTCTGCACTCCACCACTCCTGGCCGGCCTTCTCCAAGCTCTGGCTGCGACGGTGGGCCTTTAAGAGAGGTAAGGGGAAGCTGCGACTGGCTGGCCCCCTCCTCCGCGCCCGGCTTCCCTGGCCCGCCCGCCATCCCCTCCCACCCCCCACCCCGACCTCCGCGCGCCCTTCCTGTCCTAGGCGCAGACCGCCTGGACTCCCCAGGAGCCGCTTCGGGCATCCTGTCTCCTTCTCTGGTCAGGCGCAGCTCCTCCCAGGCCCAGCCATGAAGTTGTCTAGTGTGGAGGACTTCCTAGGGGCACCCTGGTGACGCCCCCTGGGGTCTCTCCAGGACCAGGCTCGGGGTGGTGCATACAGGGGTGACATTCAGGGGCCGAATGGGTGGTTCGGTGTTCACCTACCCAGGGTTCCAGTGCCTCAGTTTACTTCTACGGGGGACCACAGAGTCCCTTTATCCCCTAGGGTCTCAGTGCACTGGGCTTACAAAGAGACATCTTTGCAAAGAAGAGAGGGTCAACCCTTGGAGAGAATTAGATGGTGTCTGGGACCCCAGCAGATGGAGCCAGGGACAGGTAGGGGAGAGTGAAAGGAGCTGGCCTCCTGCGTGTCCCTCACACCCCCTGCCCTCCTGTCCGAGCCCCACCTGGTCGGGCCAGCTGCACTGCTCGGCTTCGGCAAATACTGGCACCATCGGTTTTCGAGGTAGCAAGGAGTTTCCCCGAAGGAGGGGGCTGGTGGGAAAGTTCTTTAGCTCATCGTTTCCACAGACTCCTGGCAGACTTGCTGGGGTCAGGAAGCAGGCAGGAGAACCAGGGAACCCAAGGCTGGGGTTGGGAACAGAGAGGGCGGCTGGGAAATGGGGCCGCAATAGAAAAGACGACTGACATGCAGAGTACAGCCACTGCCCGTGGTTGAGCCCTTGCAGAGTTGAGCTCAGAGAGGCTGAGTGACTTGCCCCATGTCACACAGCAGGTGCAGCACCAGAGGAGCCCGGATTTGAAGCCAGTCATGTGTGAGGCCGCCTTTGGGATGTGTTCTGAATGGGGTCCCCGGGGAGGGATTTCCAGTCCATCTGTGGATGGCGATCCTGGGGAGTCCTCCTGAAGGCTCTGCTCTCCTCCTGGCCGCCCAGCCCACCCTGCCTCCCACACAGGTCGATGATGTAATTTATAGGCCAGCAGGTGGGGGAATGAGCTCCGAGAACCTCGGCGACTTTTACACCCTTTTATGGCTGGTGCTCGGGGGATGGAGGAGGAGGAGGCTGCCTGGGACCTGAACTCGGGCCGATGGCGGCTGCTTGGATGGAGGTGGGAGCAGGGAGCACCTCCCCCTGCCACAGCTTAGCTCTCCTGGGAGAGGGTCTCCCTCGCAGCATCTCTCCTGTCTCTAGCTCTGGGCTGAATGGGTATTTTGTGTCCTTCTTAAGCTCTGTCGTTTGCTGTCAGGGCCCCGAGTCAGACTTCCTGAAGCAATGCTGGGGTTCAGCATGGTGGGGGGCGGGGCGGGCAAGTCTCGGGAGAGAAGGACGGAGACCAGTGCTGAGTTTCCCTGAGGTAGGATCCTCTCCCTGCCTCTTGCCCTCATCTGTTCCAGCTACCCATTCTGGCCATGCTCTTTCATTCATTTCCCCATTTATAATAAGTGCACACGGAATGAGTGAGTTCCGGGTCGCACTTCGGTTCCCTTCCTGCTAGACTTCTGTGCCACCATTCTGCCCCCCTACCTTCTACATCTTTACCCATCATCCCCTCAGAATGCAATCTCCTGAATGGGGTGCATCACAGCACCTGGACACGGTCGTGTCATTTACCTGCCGACTATCCACCCATTCATCCAGACAACCGGACACTAACCCATTCATCCATCCACTCACCTATACACATATGCATACATACACTCGTCTACCCACCCATCCATTCATTCACCACCCACCTATTCATCCACGTATCCAAACACCCATCCATCTACTCAGTTATCCATATATACGTACACGCATTCACCCATCCATCCATCCATCTGCCCATCACCTACCTACCCACTCCTCCATCCATCCATTCACTTATACATACATACATCCACTCACCCATCCATCCATCCGTTCATCCATCCATCCACCAATCCATATATCCATACACACATTCATCCACCCAGTCAACCACTCATCTACCCACTCACTGATCCTTCTTTCCTTCCTCCCATCCATCCAACTATCCATCCTTTCATCACCAAACTTAGGAGCACTGACTATACCCAGCCTAAATCAGCACATGACAACCAAAAGGTTGTGAACCCTCGTTTTGAATTCAGAAATATCTGAGTTCAAATCTGTGCTCTTCCTTGTAACATACTGATCTTGGTTAAAAAAAAAAAAAGAAAAATAGCACACCTGTGTAAGCCTCAGCATTCCCTCTATAAGATGAGAACTCATAGGGTTGCTGTGAAGATAAGAAGTCCAGGATGGGTTTAGCGTAGGCTAGGCATATAGGAAGTGGCCACTGTGTATATGATTTTACTACTTAGAACTTGTGTGTATAAAAGTGGATCATAGGCCGGTGCTGCAGCTCAATAGGCTAATCCTCCGCCTGCGGCGCCGGCACACCGGGTTCTAGTCCCGGTTGGGGCGCCAGATTCTGTCCCGGTTGCTGCTCTTCCAGTCCAGCTCTCTGCTGTGGCCCAGGAGTGCAGTGGAGGATGGCCCAAGTCCTTGGGCCCTGCACCTGCATGGGAGACCAGGAGAAGCACCTGGCTCCTGGCTTCGGATCAGCGTGGTGCACCAGCTGCAGCACGCCAGCTGTAGCGGCCATTGGAGGGTGAACCAACGGGAAAAGGAAGACCTTTCTCTCTGTCTCTCTCTCTCTCACTGTCCACTCTACCTGTCAAAAAAAAAAGTGGATCATATACTGTCCTTGCCCTCACAGACCTCATACTCTGGAGCAGGGATCAGCAAATCTTTCTGTAAATGAATAGGCAATAAATCCCTTCAGTTTTATAGGCCATGTGGTCTCTGATGCAGCTTCTGCATCTGACACTGTAGTGCAAAAGCAGTCATGGATGATATGCACATGAATGGGTATGGCTGTGTGACTATAAGATTTTATCTACAAAATCAGGCAGTGAGCTGGATTTGGTGCATAGCCTACAGAGCCCTGATTTGAGGAATGGCAAGTCAAGTACTGCATGGGTAGAGTGAGGAGATATCCAAAGTCCTCTGGCTAAAACTATCCACATGGGATCCAACAGAGCCCTTGGTTGCAAGGGTAAGGAGGGAAATGGGACCATTACAGAAATAGGCAGGATAGTGGTGAGTCTGGGACTCATGTGTGAGAGAAGGAGTTGAGAGGGTTGACTGAAAAGGTCTCTGTATCAAGCCAAAGGAACTGCAGTCTATGGTGGGCTGCAGTAGAAGGGGAGTGACCATCAGAGTATTGTGTCCAATTCCAGAACAGAAGATGGACCAGAGAGGAGAGATTGGAGACTGAGGGTCAGTGGCAACTGTAGTCTATAGTCTATAGTACAAGGGTTGAAGCTCAGCCCATGATACAAGGTGAGGATTCATCCTGTGACACTGGGATCGGGGCTCAGACTGACATGAGGATTGAGGCTCAGTGTATGATATAAGATCTGGATTTGTCCTGTGACACCAGGATTGGAGCTCAGTCTATGACACAAATGTGGGGGCTCAGCCTATTACACAAGATCAGGACTCAGCCTGTAACACTGGGATCAGGGCTCAGTCTGTGACACCAAGAATTGAAGTTGTGTAGGGAGAGCTATAATGGGAAAGGGACTGATATTAAGACAGTGGCAGAGTAAAGAAGGGATGGAATAGAGAAATGTCATAGAGGCGAAACCAGCAGGACTTGGTGTCCTGAGGGGAGAGGAAGAGCTGAGGCTAGCTCCAGGTGTCTGGTCTGCTCGCTGGGAACACAGGATGGCTGCACCCGTATGGGGATACAGGAGAGGAAGGGAAATTGAGGTCGGGACAGCTTGGTGTTGGGGTGTGTGAGCCACTATTGGGTAGTGATGACAAAATCTGGAGCTCAGAGAAGAGAACCTGCCACCAAAATCAGAGCTCAGTGTGTGACCCCAGGATCAGGGCTCAGCCTGGGACCAGGTTGAGGCTTCAGTTTGTGATCGGACTTGGGGTTCAGTTTATGGCACTAGGATAGGGGCTTGGGATATGACACCAACAACCAGGCTCAACCTGTGAGAGCGGAATGAGGCTCAGCTATGGCAGCAAGATCAGGGCTCAGGATATACCACAAGGATCAGAGCTTAGATCATGGCTTCGGGATGAGGTTCAGTCAGTGACACTGGGATCAGGGCCCAACCTATTATAGTAGGATGAGACTCAGTATATGAAACCAGGAGGAAGCTCAGTTTATGATGCAAAAACTGAGGCTCAATCTGTGAAACAGTGTCAGAGTTGACATCATCATCAGGTCAAGTTCAATCTGCTCCCGGGTCAGAATCTTCCACATAAAAGCTGAACTCATCCCTGCTCTTTTGCCTTTAGCTTTTGGACCCTGGCCCTTCAGGGTTCATAGATACAGGGCGTGGGATTCTGCCTTTGGCCTCTCCAGGCTGTAAGAGTTCTGCCCGCTGAGGCAGACAGACCCTGGAGGCTCACCTCCAGCCTCTACTTGACCGGCAGACGGCAATGGCCCTTTCTTCCTGAGCTCCCATAAGCCTCCAGGACACATCCCCACATCTGGCTTTTCTCCTCCTTCACAGCCTGTGTGTTTATTTCCCACATTTCTCTGAGTCATAGATGCTGCCCTGACTTCAGGGCAGGGGATGGGGAGATGCAAAGCTCCACAAGGGCAGAGTCCTCGCCACAGGCCAGGGAAGGCGGCCAGGAAAACGGCCATGGCAGAAACCATGGCATTGTTTATCCATTCACTGTTGATGCAAGGTTAGCCTCCGAATGCATTTGCCTTGAACTGAGCATAGCTGAAACCTCAGACCCCTTGTGCACCTGCCCCAACCAGTGCTCTAGCAACTTCTTTGTAACCACTTTATTGAGAAGTAATTCATGCACCATACAATTTACCCATTTTCAAATAAAGATTTGTCTATTTATTTACAAGTTAGAGTTAGAGAGAGAGAGAGAGAGAGAGAGAGCTCTTTCATCTGCTGGTTCACTCCCTCAAATGACTGCAATGGCCGGAGCTAGGTTGAGCTGAAACCAGGAACCTGGAAATCCATCGGGGTCTCCCATGTGTGTTCAGGGTCACAAGCACTTGGGCCATCTTTTGCTGCTTTCCCAGGTGCATTAGCAGGGAGCTGGATTGGAAGCGGAGCAACTGGAACTTGACCAGCACCCATATGGGCCAGCAGAGGCTTAACCTGCTGCGCCACACGCCAGCCCTCAAATTACCGATGTGAAGTATATAATTCAGTGGGTTCTGGGTGTATGCGCAGCATTGTACAACCATGATTGCATCCACTTTAGAACATTTTCCTCAAACAGAAGCTTGCATCCTTTATTTCTCAACTCATAATCCTCCAGTCCTCCCCCTAAGCCAGCCTTGAACAACGACAGGGACATTTCGTGTACATGGAGTTCTTGACTGTGTGTTCTTTGGTGACTGGTTGCCTTGACATAATGTAATGTTTTCAAGGGTTATCTCTGCTGAATTATGTGCCAGCACTTCATTCCATTTTGTGGCTGAATAGTATTCCATTATGTAGATAGACCACATTGTGTTTAGCCATCACATCCATGAAAAGAGATTTAGATTATTTCTACCTTTTGGCTGTTGGAAAAAAAAATACTTGTTCTTTTTTATAAAGTTTATTTATTTATTTAAAAGGCAGAGTTACAGAGAGAGAGAGAGAGAGAGAGAGAGAGATCTTCCATTCTCTTGTTCACTCCCCAAATGGCCAAAATGGTCAAGGCAGAGCCAGGCTGACACCAAGAGCCAGGAGCTCCATCTGGGTCTCCCACATGGATAACAGGGACTCAAGCACTTGGGCCATCTTCTGCTGCTTTCTTAGATGCATTAGCAGGGAGCTGGGTTGGAAGCAGAGCAGCCAGGATTCAAAGAAGTGCCCATATGGGATGCTGGCATCACAGGCTGTGGCTTAGTCCACTGCATCACACAGTGGGCCCCAGGGATAATACGGCTATACACAGGCATATACATGTTTCTGGACAGATGGATGTTTTCCAGTCTCCAGGGTAACAACCTATGAGTGAAATTCCTGGGTCACATGCTAACCCTAAAATTGATTTTCTGAGGAACTGCCCTTCTATTTATCAATCTCCTTGGGATTTTTTGATACACATGCAGGTGCACATGTAACTCATTTCATTCATGTATTTATAAAATGGTTTAATTTCTGCCGTGGCTCTTGGTATGGCCTGATGCTCTTGGTATGTGCCAAGGACCCCAGAAATTTTGCATTCATAATTGTTTTTAAAGATTTATTTATTTATTACAGAGAGAATTACAGAGAGAGGGAGAGACAGAGACAGAGAGAGACAGAGATCTTCCATCTGCTGTTAACTCCCTAGCTGGCTGCTATGGCCAGCGTTGGGCCAGGAACTGCTCCCAAGTCTCCCACGTGGGTGGCAGAGACTCAAACACTTGGGCTATCTTCTGCTGTTTTTTCCCAGGCCATTAGCAGGGAGCTGGACCAGAAGTGGAGCAGCCAGGATATGAACCAATGCCAATATGGGATGCCAGCATCACAGGTGTCGGCTTTACCTGCTGAACCATGACACCAGCCACAAATTCATAATTTTTTATTCTTTTGCTTAAAGAAGGCTGCTCAAGTTGGAAAAGATCAGACTCCCAAGACTTTATAAGCATTTTTGTTCACACAGCTGAAAGCAGGGTGACGGTGAGGTGGCTGCAGACAGCCCCATCTCTGCCCACCGCTCCCTGTGCCTCCGTATTAGGATGCAGAGTGGCGTCTTCACCTTCTCTTCCCCTCTGCTAGCAGCAGGAGTTAAAGACAGGGCCCCCAGCCACACACTTTGCAGGGGGAACTCTGGGGTATTGTTGACAATCACCCTTGCTTTTATAAAAGGACTTTCCCCCTACAAACTGGGGCGTTGAGCCTCAGGGAAGCCGAGCTGTGGAGTGAACAGGAACTAACCTGGCACTTTCCCAAGGTGTCTGCCGTGCCACTCCCAGTCCCCATTTCTGTCCCACCTCGGGAAGTTACTGCTTTCCCAGTGAACATGATGATCATTCCTCACGTGTGTCCCCCTCAATGGTCTATTCCCTCTCTTCTACCTTCACCCACCCCTCCAGCCTCACCTCCAGGCATTCTCCATCCATCCATGCATCCTTCTGTCCATCTACCCAGCCATCCACTCTTCCTCACATTCATAAGCCCTACCATCCATCCATCCATTTCTCCATCACCCGTCCACTCTCCCATTCACCTGTCCATCCTCCCTTCTACCCATCCATCCAAACTACATACATCTTTCCATCTATCCACCCATCCATCCACTCTACCATATATACAGTCTTCCTTATGTATTCTCTATCCCTCCATCCATCCATCCGTGTATCCATCATTCATCCACTCTTCTGTTCCCCCATCCATCCATCCATCCACTCTTCCTTATGTACACTCTACCTCTACCCTATGTATGCTCTAACTTTCCATCCATCCATCTGTGTATCCATCATTCATCCACTCTTCCATCCCCCATCCTTCCATCCATCCATCCACTCAACAGTACCTGTGGTATGTTTGGGAAGGTGGTATTAGAGGGGAAATAAGGAGAATCTAGATAACAAGGCAATGGGATGTACACTCAGGAGAGGCACAAGATCTTTGGAAGTTGGGGGTTGGACAGGGGTTTTTGGGGGGAGAAGGGTATGATCTTCATGCAAGGTCATGTGAGGGTATGAATGGGAAAGTTCACAGGCAGCAAGAACAAGATACAGCAGGCAGATCCTTGAGGCATCAGTAGCTGGGCCAAGAGATTCAACTTTTTTCCTATAAGTGGTGAGGAGCCTGCCTAGAAAATTGAATAAGCAGGGGTGGACATGATCCAGCCACAGTGCAGGGAGCTCCAGAAGAGAGAAAGCCACTCTTCCAGCAACAGAGGGCTCAGCCCAAGCCCTAGCGTTAAGCCAGGGCACCCTGTTGACCTAGAGGACAAGGAAAGCACAAAGAATGGCCAAGCACCAGGACCAGTGCTTGACGTACAATCCTTACCAAGCCCCTGAAGGGTGGACATTGCCATACCCGCCTCCCATTTCTCAGAGAGACACTTCCTGGACTTGTGCAATTGTTAGTGGCAGGTCCTGGTTGGCCCCAGAGCCCTGAGTTTCTCCTCTCTTTCCGTCCCACCCAGAATTAACTCGGAGTTAATTGGAGGGAGAGAGGAGGGCTTGAGGAGAAGGGGACAACCTGAAGTTCCACCCTCAGAGACTCTTCTTCAAATGTGGGCATCTGATCTGTGAACCCCTTAGCACCACCCCCAAATAAAGGCTTTCTGATAGGCATAACAAATGGATTTCAGCTCATGATCAGCTGGAGACAGCTGCTGGAAATGTATGCAGGGATGATTCTGAATGGCTCAGCAGGAAGGAGTTTCATTGTTGATTGCAAATGTCTGCTACAGGCTCAGGGTGGAAAAGAAGTAGCATGGATGTTGGCTGAAAAGTTGCATGTGGACCGCTGTTACGGCATGTCAGTCTAAGCCACTGCTTGCAGTGCCAGCATCCCATATAAGCACCGATTCAAGAGCTGGCTGCTCAACTTCTGACCCAGCTCCCTACTAATGCACCTGGGAAAGCAGCAAAAAATGGTCCAAGTGCTTGGAACCATGCCACCCATATGGAAGACCCAGATGGAATTCCAGGCTCCTGACTTCATCCTGGCCCAGCCCCAGCCATTGCAGCCACTTGGGGAGTGAACCAGGGATGGAAAATCTCAATCTCTGTTCCTGCCTCCTTCTCTGTCTCTCCCCCCAACTTTTGTGTGTGTGTGTGTGTCCCTCTCTCTCTATAATTCTGCCTTTCAAATTAGTACATACATCTTTAAAAAAGAAACTTCTTGGAGCTGGCACCCAAGCATCTTGGTACCTGCATCCCATATGAGACTGGTTCACGTCCCAGGTGCTCTGCTTCCTATCACGCTCCCTGCTAATGCACCTGGGAAAGCAGCAGGTGACAGTCCAAGTGCTTGGGTCCCTGTACCCATGCAGGAGACCCAGATGGCATTCCTGGATCCTGGCTCTTCAGCCTGGCCCAGATCCTGCCATTGCAGCCACTTAGGGAGTGAACCAGTGATGGAAGATTCCTCTTTCTCTCTCTCTCTCTCTCTCTCTCTCTCTCTCTCTCTCTCTCCATACCTCCCTCCCCCCTTCTCCCTTTCTCTCCATAACTCTGCCTTTCAAATAAATAATTTTTTAAAAAAAGAAAGATCATTAAAAGATCTTTGCTAAGACCTCAGTCCCTTCCTCACCACCATCACCCCCATTTACAGATGAGAAAACTGAGACCCAGAGCAAGCAGCAGCAGATGCAGGCATTGGGTGCCAGCTTAGCCCTGACTCCTGGGCTCTGCTTTCTCCACAGGCTCAGAGCCCAAGCCATGCGCCCCGTCCTATGACTCAGGAGCCTCGGCCCCAGCCACGAAGAGCAGCAGTGGACCCTGGAAGTCTGGCCCGCACTTCTTCTCCACCATGGAGGACGAGCAGGCAGGTGTCCGGCTGCTGAGATGGGCAGGGGCTGATGACAACAGTGTTTAGCCCAGGCATGTTGCCAAGCCTTTACATACATCATTTTCTCAGTGAGCTCTCGTCAGAGCTGGGCAAGCAGTTACAAACTGGTTTTACAGATGAAGACACTGGCGTTCTTTCTGGAACAGACAGAGGGAGGGAAGGCAGGTGGGTGGGTAACAGGGTGGATGGATGGGTAGAAGAAGTGGAGGGAAGAAGGAGGGAGGGAGGGAGAGAGATGGATAGATGGATGCATGGAAGGAAGATAGGTAGATGGATGGATAGAAGGGAGGGAGGGCGGGCAGGCGGAGGGCAGGGAGGCAGGAAAAGCAAATGCAACTTAGAAAGGCATTCTGCCCTAGTTCAGCTCCCTTGGCAGCTAAGCAAGAAGCCCGACCTCATCTGACTGCACAGCTGCATCCTTGCCCTCTGCCCTGGTTACCCGTTCTCCAAGCATTTGACTTGGGAAGCCGGGCCCCTGGAAGAAAGGCCCTCAGTGGTGCAGGTCCATGATGGACCTCATGTCAGGCCCTGGGCTGGTTCTGGGGCTCCTCCTGTCCGACTTCAGGTTCCAGGGAAGGGCATGCTGGGGTGGAGAGCAGGACATTGCCTGGCCAGCTCCTCATTCCTCCAGGAAGCCCTCCTGGAGTGAGCTGCAGGCTCGGTTGTCCCCCAGCCTGCTGCCTGGAATCTTCCATCACACTTGATTCTAACAGCTAGGTTATTAGTTACTATCAATCAGCTCCGTGCAGTCAGGGGATCCCTATTACTCCATCTAGGGCTGTCAGAGACCTGTGAAGAGGCAGGTCCCTGACTCTGGAAATGCAAGATATCTCCATGCACTGACCAAGGGCATGCCACGGGCAGGACCCCATGCCCACACTGCCCAGTGTGGACCGTGTCACCCACACAGTGGCCCTGCAAGAGAGCAGCAGTACCCCCATTTTAGAGAAGAAAAGACTGAGACTCAGAGTGTAGCCAAGGTCACATTCAACTCGTACAAACCACAGCTCAGATGAAAACCTAGACTGAGGTCTTCCTACCTGACTGTTGTTCAAGACCATCTTCCCTTTATCTTTAGATAGATAGATAGATAGATAGATTTGAAAAGCAGAGTTACAGAGAGAGGAAAGAGAGAGAGAGAGGGAGAGAGGGAGAGAGGGAGAGAGAATGAGATCTTCCATCTGCTGGTTCACTCCCCAAATGGCTGCAACAGCCAGGGCTGGGCCAGGGTGAAGCCAGGAGCCTGGAACTCCAGCCGGGTCTCCCACAAGGATCCAAGCACTTGGGCCATCTTCTTCTGCATTCACAGGTCATTAGCAGGGAGTTGGATTAAAGTGGAGTAGCCAAGACTTGAACCGGTGCCCATGTGGGATGCTGGCACCACAGGCGGGGGCTTTACCCATTCCACACATCGGGTGTCCCTATCCAAAATGCTTGAGACTAGAAAGAATTGTTTTTCTTTTTTTTAGAGTGTTGAATATTTGCACACCCATAATGAGACATCTTGGGGATGGGACCCAAGTCTAAACACAAGACTCAAATGTCTCATGCACGTCCTACACACATAGCTTGAAGGTACTTTTACACACTATTTTCAGTGCACCTGCGTTTTGACCTTGACCCACACCCATGATTCCAAGTGTGGAATTTTCCACTTGAGGGTGTCACATTGGGGCTTGAAAACTTTTCAGAGCATATCAGACTTGAGGTTTTACAGTGAGGGATGCTCAGCCCGTATCTGCTTGCTATTTTGTTTGCTGGTGTTTGCTGTTGTTGTTGTTTACATGACAGCATGGAACCAGAGAAACAATTTGCCCCAAGTTGCTTTGATGTGCTATTTTCTTTTAAGAGTGAGCAAGATGAACAACTATTTACATTTTTAAAAGTAAAAGTGTACTCTCGGACTATATAAAAAGCATACATGCCAAGCACCCGTCTGAACAGTGGGGACTCCTGGGATGTTTTGACTCCGGGTTTGACTTTGGAAGGAGGGGGAGCAGCCATCCCTCACGGCTCCCACAGGCCTGGGAGACGGAGCCTGGATTTACTGTATCCTCTGTGGGGTGCCAGGGCTGGTGCATTAGTGTTTCATCGGATGCTTGGAAAGGCCCCTGTTGGGCTGGCTCCCATCTTTTCTAACCCAAGAAATAAATGTTGGGGGAAAGGTGCAAGCTCGCAGGACAAGGTGCCCTGCTCCACCCCCTCATCTTCAGCGTCCTTGCTGGTGCCGAGCCTGGGACAGCCTGTGCCCCACATGTCCCCCCTCCTCCTCCCCCGCCCCAGCTCTGGCCTGGCTCTCACCTCTGCCTCGGATGAGGGAGGCCCGGCCCAAGCCAAGAGCCTGCCCTGATGTGTTTATATTTAGCAAAGGATAAAAACCAGAGGCATGAGGAAACAGCAGAAGAGACAGGAGCCAGCAGGAGGCTGTCCAGACACCGGGGATAGGAACGGACCCATCCCCTGGGCTGGGGGAAGGCGAGAACCAAAAGGAGGCTGCCGTGGAAGCCACAAGGAGGCCAGGCCACGCTGAGGCAGCAGGAGCTGGAGTAAGAAGGGGACAGAGAAGTGGGGTGCTTGTGTTGAGAGGGCAGAGGAAGGAAGAGGAGTCAGTGTGGCTGGGAGGGAACCCAGGACAGTGGCCCCAAAGGAGAGGATCAAGAAAGAAGGGGGTGCTAGAAACCAATATGGTGGATGCTAAACAAGTGTGGGGTGGGAAGAGGCAGCCGTGCAAACTCCCACTTCTGGGTGGAGGCCCAGGACAGGAGGGGGAAGGGGCCCCAATGGATATTTGGCTAATTCACAATAGCAGAAAGGTAGAAGCCTCGGGGTATCCATCAACAGACCAGTGGGTAAATGTAACGTAGTGCATCCATGCAATGGAATGGTACTTAGCCTAAAAAGGGAGGGGATTCTGACACCTGCTGCAAGGTGGAGGGCCCTTGGGGACATCAGGGACACAGAAGGACAAACCCTGCAGGATCCCACTCCTAGCAAGGTCCCCATAGCCATCAGAACCACAGAGATAGGATGCAGTGTTGGGGTGGGAGTGCTAGGGGCTGGGGAGGGAGTGTTTCCTGGGGACAGAGCTTCAGTCTGGGCAGAGAAGGCTTTGGAGACGGACAGTGGTGAACTGAGTGCTTAAAAATGGTTCAAGCTGCATATTTTGTGTTCTGTGGCCATGATGGAAGGAAGAGACAGGGAGAGGCCAGTCCTGTGACGAGATCACATGAGTGAGGGCAGGAGAAAGAGGAAGCCCCAGAGAAGTCCCTGTGCCTGGCAGCCCCTCCTCACCCATCCACATCCCCGTGCATGGCCCCCACCCACTTCTGGCCACACACAACCTGAGCTGGCCCAGGGCCTGGCTTTGCTTTGCAGGTTTTCTCTGCTTTACATTAGAAGCTTCCCTGAAAATCCCCCAAGCGAAAGGTTTTGGGGACTGTAACAAACATCCTCGAGGCTGCAGAACTACATAAAGAGAGGCTTGCATGGCTCTTGGTTCTGGGGGTTCCAGGTGAAGGCATAGTCCTGGGGCAGCACGGGGTGGCACATGGCAGGAATCAGGGAGCACACACATGTGTATGTGTGGGTGCACGTACACTTGTGTATATGCGCACTATGTGTGTATGAGTGTGTCTATATGTGTATCTGTATTGTGCATGTGTATGATTGTGTGTTTATGCACATGTATTCATGTATGTATGTGTACATGTATGTGTGCATATGTGTGTGGTTGCACATGTGTGTGGTGTATATGTATCATGTGTATATGTATGCACGTGTGTATTGTGCATGTGTATTGCATTGCGTATGCTGTATATGTGTGTGCATGTGTATATTGTGTGCTTGCGTGCATGTATGTGTATTGTACATATGTATTACATGTGTGTTTGTGCACGTGTGTGCATATGCATTGTGTGTGCGTTATATATATTGTGTGTTGCATGTATGTATGTGTGTATGTGGTTTCTGTGTGTGCATGTATATATGTGCATGTCTCTGCATGTGTGAATAAGTATGTGTGTATGCATGCATGCTTGAGTTTATCTGTGTATGAATGCATGTGTGTATGCATATGTATTATGTGTGCACATATGGGTGTGTGTACATGTATGTTTGTGTGCATCTGTGTGTGCATTTTGTGTTTGTGCATGTGAGTGTTCACCTGTCTCATATCTCTTCTTAGAAAACCACCGAATTCAATCACAAAGGCTCTACTTTGACGTTTGTGATGCCCCTATCACCTCCCACCTCTTTTATTTATTTGAAAGGTCTCTCTCTCTCTGTAACTCTGCTTCTCAAGTAAATAAATAAAATATTTATTTTTAAAAAAGATTTTAATAAATAAAATCTTTCTTTTTAAAAAATATTTTATTTATTTACTTGAGAGGCAGAGTTACAGACAGTGAGAGGGAGAGACAGAGAGAGAGGTCTTCCTTCAGTTGGTTCACTCCCCAGATGGCCGCAAGGCTGGAGCTGCGCTGATCTGAAGCCAGGAGCCTGGAGCTTCCTCTGGGTCTCCCACGCGGGTGCAGGGGCTCAAGCACTTGAGTCATCTTCCACTGCTATCCCAGGCCACAGCAGAGAGCTGGATTGGAGGAGGAGCAGCCAGGACTAGAACCAGTGCCCGTTTCGGTTGCCGGCACCACAGGCAGAGGATTAACCTACTGCGCCATGACGCCGGCCCCAAATAAATAAAACTTAAAAAAAAAAAACACACACACACAAGGCCCCCCTAGGGACAGGTGTTTGGTTAGATGCTGCTGGGACACCTGTGTCCCAGTGGGGAGTGCCTGGGTTTGTGTCCAGTTTCCCACTGCTGCACACCCTGGGAGGCAGCAGGTGATGGCCCAAATAGTTTGGTCCCTCCCACTGACAAAGGATTCCTGGACTGAGTTCCCACTTCCATCGGCCCCATCTGTTGCAGGCATTTGGGGAATGAACCAGTGGATGAGAAATCTCTCTCTCCTACTTTTCAAATAAATAAAATAAATAGCTTCTTGGGGAGAGAGAGAGAGAGAGAGAGAGAGAGAGATCTTCCATCTGCTTATTCATTCCCCCAAAAAGTTGCAATGGGCGGGTGGGGCCAGACCGAAGCCAGGAACTTCATCCTGGTCTCCCACAGGGGTGCAGGGGCCCAGGTGCTTGGGTTATCACCTGCTGCTTTCTCAGATGCATTAGCAGGGAGCTGGATCAGAAGTGGAGCAGCTCCCAGTGCTCCAATATGGGATGCTGGTGTCACAGATGGTGGCTTAACCCACAGCACCACAGCACCAGCCCTGGCAGTGCCTCCATGCAAGCTTCCTGCAGAATTCAGGAGACAGGGGACAGGTCCCCTTAGGGTTAGAGTCTGTCCTGGGGCCTCACAAGGAGCAATGGGGGAGGCCCCCCCATCCAGCAAGTCCTGCCTGGGAAGAATCCTAACAAAGCGGGGGGAGGAGCAGCTCCTGTCATGCAGATCCCGTGGGCTCAGGGGAGCCAGGAAGGCAGTCTTGAGGGCACAACAAAGGTGGGTTTTGAAGAGTGCATAGTTCTCCAGCTAGGCTCTGGGTGGGCTGGGTGGGAGAACCGATTTTTCATGGAACAAAGTCTGGAAAGAATAGCAAATAGGGGCCGGTGCTGCGGCTCAACAGGCTAATCCTCCACCTAGTGGCGCCGGCACACCGGGTTCTAGTCCCAGTCGGGGCGCCGGATTCTTTCCTGGTTGCCCCTCTTCCAGGCCAGCTCTCTGCTGTAGCCCGGGTGTGCAGTGGAGGATGGCCCAAGTCCTTGGGCCCTGCACCCCAAGGGAGACCAGGAGAAGCACCTGGCTCCTGCCTTCGGATCAGCGTGGTGTGCCAGCCGTGGCGGCCACTGGAGGGTGAACCAACGGCAAAAGGAAGACCTTTGTCTCTCTCTCTCTCTCACTATCCACTCTGCCTGTCAAAAAAAAAAAAAAAGAATAGCAAATAGGGTGAGGAGGAGTGGGTGACAGAAGTGACGGGCAGGAGATGCCCAGCAGAAAGAATCAATGAGAGAAGTGAGAACAGTAGAGAAAGCGCCCAGAGCGTGGGACAGAACAGAACTGGGTAGGAGTGTGGCCTCCGCGCACCGAGGCTCCAAACCGGGAAAGTGGGGCGACAGTGCCCTCTGGTGGATGAAGGAGACCGTGGCGTGTTGGTGCTCGGCTTTGCAGCCCGGGTCTGCGCCAGCGCGTCTTAGACCGCAAGCCTTGGCGTGTCTCGGGCTGGGCCTGAGCTGCCAACTGCTGGGTAAGGAAAGGTGTTATTAAAGGTGATTGACAAAGTCAGGTATTCCAGGCTCCACCCTGGCAGGAGGCAGCGGGACCAGGAGGGCAGGATCCAATATAGATTCAGCATCCCTCACCCAAAAGTCCAAGAATGCTTCAAAAACCGAGACGTTCTGATTACCAATAAGATGCCAGTTGAAAGTCCCATACCTGACCTTGTGGGGTGAAATATGAAAACGCAGGTGCACTAGAACCAGGGTCTAAGGTGTGTGTGCCAGGTGCACAAGTGTGCTTCAAACAATTGATGGAAAATGCAATGAATAGAGAAGTTTGTTTTGGTGCAAAAAGATTTGAAATCCAGGCATAGCTTTTGCATAATGCACATTTTCCAGGAGCTTTTGTAAGACCCTATATATGCATGGATTTCAAAAATGTTTTGCACCAAAATAAGCTTGTCTTTTAATTCCCTTTTCCATAAGCCTTTTGGGAAAAAAAATAAAAGGTTATATAGGAGATTACATTGTATGAGTGAATCAAATTATCACATTTGTATACATTATATACACATATCACATTGTATGTATGTATATTATATACATGTATCAAATCATCACATAATTATTATGTGTCAGTTGGAAGGCGTTTGGATAACAAGTACCAAAACAGATCTACTAACAAGTTTTCCTGTTCCATAGCAGAATTCGGTAACTGTAGTTCACAATACTGTATTGTACTGGGTGAAACACTCAAGGGAATTAGTAGCCTGCAAACACAAAGACAAGACAAGAAAATGGAAATGCTAAGTGCCTGATCTGATCATTATGTGCTGTGCACTATATCCCATAAAAATGTACAAGTATTACACATTAATCAAAAAAGTTTAAACAAGAAATGATGCATGAGATAAAAATATAGTTAAATTTTCATTAAAGGAAAACAAAGAATGTTTCATTCTGCAAAAATAAATAAATAAAATTAAAATAAGCTGATCGGGAGCACATATGTGGCCTAGCAGTAAGACACCCATATCCCATATCAGAGTACCCAGGTTCAAGTCCCCCTGCCGCTCCTGACTCCAGCTTCCTGCTAATGCAGACACTGGGAGGCAGCCAGCGATGGTTCAAGAAATTGGCTTCCTAGCACACGTATGGGAGACCTGGATGGTGGTCCTCATGGTCCTCGTTCCCAGCTCCAGTCCTGGGCCCACCCCCAGCTGTTGCAGGCATTTGGGAAGTGTCTGCTCTCCCCTCCCTCCCTCTGAATAGACACATCTTTGAAATGATTAGCTGCTGAGCCCCCATGGCAGAGGTGATTATGCTAACTGCCTAAGAGGATCAGACAGAGACTCAGCCAGGCAGGTGCTTGGCCAAGGCTAGGAAGACGTGGAAACCCAGGCTTCTGACCCCTTTGGGAATAGAGCACCCAGCCCATATTGGAGGGAAGGGGGCTAGGTAGCACGCGCAGATTGGGGACTGGGTGCCTTGTGGCCAGGAGACCCCAATCCCTGCTGCCCCTCAGTCAATGCCACCTTCTTCTGCCCTATAGGAGGATGGCTTTCCAAATCGGCTGGGTGAGAGTGCAGAGGACCTCAGCCTGGACTTGGAGGCTCTCCAGGGAAGTGTGTATCTCCAGGACCTGGGCCTGGAGGCCCCCTCGCACAGCCAGCCTGGGGGGGCTCAGGGCAACAGCCCCCCCAGCGAAGAAACAGGAGGAGACTCGCCCTTCACCAGCTCAGTGGAGGCCCAGGGCCTGCTCAAGAGGCGCAGCTGGGAGAGGTCGCGGAGCTGTTCTGAAAACTGGCAGAGGTCAGCCCCTCAGCCCTTCCCACCTTCCACGATGCGTCCCCAGGACAGAGCCAGGGCCCAGGCCACGCTGTCTCACTGCTCCTGCATTTTCTAGCTCTCAGATCACTGGGGTGGGGGTCATAGCCAGCTCCAAATATCCTCTTCTAACACGCATGAGCACAGAGTGCAAATGCCCAGATCCACGTGCATGCTGCTAGGGTGTGCGTGCACAAGCCCAGACTGTAGATGGCACTCACAAGAGCTCACATGTACAACACCCCTGTGCACACTGAATGACACGCCATGCCTAACAGCTTGCATGCACAAAGCCACAGGTGCACTTGGGACCAAAACACAGGTGTGTGCTGGGCTCCATACCCCTCACCCTCTGGCAGCTTCACAAATAGCTGGAGGCAGTAACTTTGGCCACCCCAGCCACCCTTGTCCTTCTAAGTCAACCCAAGTGGAAATTCAGCCCGTGCAAAAATAGTAGATCGGCTATCCCAATGCAGCTGCCACAGTTTAATCAGGTTCCCCTCTAGACTCTGTTCTGTGGCCTGTCCATCCCTCCACATCCTGGAGGGATTCAGATGGGTGACAAGTCCCAGTGAAACTTCACTTCTCTCCCTCCTCTCCCCAGGCTCAGCTTTGACGCCTCGGCTGTGGACAAAGGGCCCTGTCTCCCTCGGACACTGGCTAGCTTCGCCCTGAACCTGTCTGGAGAGGGGCTGAAGACTTGGACCCAAGGGTGTCTGCCCGGCGGCAGGACCCCAGCAGAACAGTCACGCAAGGTGGGTGTAACCAGCAGCTGCCCCTGAGAACAGCTCACCTCCGGGCCAGAAGCCAGTGCTGGGGGTGGGAGAAGAGCCTCACCCCTACCTGGCAGGACTCACCTGTCATGGTGGGGAGGAGGGAGGGTTCCATGATGTGGGAGTTGGTGGGGGGCACCTTTCTTCTGCCAAGATAGTGAGAACATCATTTGCAGGCCGTACAAAAGTGCCAGCTTAAAACCGAGCCTCCTGGCCAGCGCCACGGCTCAACAGGCTAATCCTCCACCCAGCGGCGCCGGCACACCGGGTTCTAGACCCGGTCGGGGCACCGGATTCTTTCCCGGTTGCCCCTGTTCCAGGCCGGCTCTCTGCTGTGGCCCGGGAAGGCAGTGGAGGATGGCCCAAGTGCTTGGGCCCTGCACCCCATGGGAGACCAGGAGAAGCACCTGGCTCCTGTCTTCGGATCAGCGTGGTGTGCCAGCCGTGGCAGCCATTGGAGGGTGAACCAATGGCAAAGGAAGACCTTTCTCTCTGTCTCTCTCTCTCACTGTCCACTCTGCCTGTCAAAAAAAAAAAAAATGAGCCTCCTGTACATGCACTGGATTTTAAGTCCCACCTACAGCTGCTGGCCTTGGCAGGGCTGGGTCGGATGACTTTGCGAGCCTTACCCGGCCACAGGATGGACACTCCTCACCCTGGCCGCTGGACCCCATGACCGGCCCCTCGCTGAGCCCTGCGATTCCACCTGCATGGTCAGGCCTTTGCCACTAATAGCACGATGCCACAGACTGGGTGGGTGGCAGAGAGACGAGGCTTATCTGGGCTCACGGTTCTGCACATCCAAGGTCAAGGGGGTCTATATCTGGGGATGGCCTTCTTGCTGGAAGAATCCTGAAGGTGTACATGGCACTGTACATGGCAGCACATGTGTGTGTGCGTGCACCGAGGTGTGTGTGTGACCTGTATGTGCACTGAGTGTCGCTATGTATGTGTGTGTCTGCACTGAGTCTGTGCCTTTCTGTGTGTGTCCATGTGTGTATATGTGAGTCTGTGTATCTGTTGTATGTGGATGTGTGTCTGTGTGCCTGTGTGTGAGTAGTGTGTGTCTGTGTGTGTCCATGAGTGTGTGTGTCCATGTGTCTGTGTGTGTATCTGTGTGTTTATGCACTGAGTCTGTGTGTGAGTCTATATGTGTATGTCTCTGTGTGTGCATGTCTGTATGCCTGTGTGTGTGTCTATGCACTGAGTCTGTGTGCCTGTGCCTTTCTGTGTATGTCCATGTGTGTGTCTGTGTGTGTGAATCTGTGTGTCTGTTGTGTGTTTGTCTGTATGTGTGCATGTCTGTGTGCCTGTGTGTGAGTCTGTGTGTGTCTGTGTGTCCATGTGTGCCTGTATGTGTCTGTGTGTTTATGCACTGCGTCTGTGTGTGAGTCTATGTGTGTGTGCCTGTGTGTGTGTCTGTGTGTTTATGCACTGAGTCTGTGTGTATGTGTCTGTGTGTGTGTGTCTGCCCATCTTCTGGTCCCCCCTCCTCTCACAGAGCCAGCAGGACTCCATCCTGATGACCTTGTCTGACCCTGCTCACCTCCCAGAGGTCCCCCCCACACACACACTCACCATGGTCACGTGAAGCCTCCACCCTCTCAGTAATAGCACGTGGGGACTGAACTCCAGCACGAAAGCAGGCGTGTGGCACAGCAGTTAAGATGCTTCCCAGGATGCCCAATCTGGTATCCGAGTGCCTGGGTTGAAGTCCCGACTCCGCTTCCAATTCCAGCTTCCTGTGAATGTAGACCCTGGGAAGCAGCTGGTGATGGCTGCCGTACTTGGAACCCTGCAATCCACATGGTTGAGTTTCCAGCTCCTGGCTTTGGTCTGGCCCAGCCTCAGTTATTGCCAGCATTCGGGGAGTGAACTAGAAGGTGGAAGATCTCTCTCTTTCTCCATCTTTGCTTTCTCTGCCTTTCGTTCTTTCCTTTTTTTAAGATTTATTTATTTATTTATTTATTTGAAAGGCAGATTTACAGAGAGGCAGAGAGAGAGAGAAAGGACTTCTGTCTGCTGGTTCACTCCCCAAATAGCTGCAACACTAGAGCTGCGCAGATCCAAAGCCAGGAGCCAGGAGGTTCCTCCAGGTCTCCCACATGGATGCAGGGGCCCAAGGACTTGGGCCATCTTCTGCTGCTTTCCCAGGCCACAGCAGAGAGCTGGATCAGAAATGGAGCAGCTGGGACTTGAACCAGCGCCCATATGAGGCTGCAGGCTGCGGCTCTACCCAATACACCACAGCACCAGCCCCACACCTTTCAAATAAAACAAAAACAAAAATATCTTTTTCAATTAAAAAAAAAAAAAGCCCTCCAGCGTGAGCTTCAGAGGGGACAAAACCTACTCAAGGGGCCGGTGTTGTAGTGCAGAGGGATAAGCCGGCACCTGTGATGCCGGCCTTCCACATGTGCCCCGTGGCTGGGGGAAGTACGTGCATCCCCAGGTTCTGTGGAAGTGACCCTGGCCACGGCTGGGGAGCCGGGCCTGGCAGGGCTGCCCCTGCAGTCAGGCCACCTTCTGGGCTCACGGAAATGCTTGTTTCCCACAGGGGTGTGAAAGCCCTGAGAAAAGAGGGCGGTCACGGTCTGTGCCCACATCCTGTGATGAGATCAGCTCCCTGAACATTGCTCCGGGTCTGGGCAGAGATGCTCCGCCTGTGCAAGGTGACCTGGTTGGGGTGGGGGTGGGGTGGGGCGGGGTGGGTCTTAAGAGGAGGCTCCCCCCAGATGAAGCCTCCATTGGGACCCAGAGAAGGGAAAGGAGCTGATGGAAGACTCGGGGTCCCTTCGGTGGGAATGGGGCCCCTGTAGCATCTGCCCTGACCCCTGGACTGCCTCTCTCTCTCTGTCTCTCTGACTCTCTCTGTCTTTACCTCCCTCTCTGTCTCTGAATCTCTTCTTGCCTTGGGCAGTTTTCGTAACTATAGCAAAATTCCTGAGGCTAACTTGGCAAATAAAAGAGCTTGACTTTGAGCTGGTGGCTGTGGAGGAGCAGGGTGTAGGTGAGGACATTCTTGGGGACACAGTTCCAAGGCCACCCAGGATGCCTTTATCTATGGGATGCATCCCCCACTTGACAAACTGGCCAGAATTCAGGCGCCGTGGCTCACTTGGTTAATCCTCTGCCTGCGGCACCGGCTTCCCATATGGGTGTCGGGTACAAGTCCCAGTTGCTCCTCTTCCAGTCCAGCTCTCTGCTGTGGCCCAGGAGGGCAGTGGAGCTTGGGTCCTTGCACCCGCATGGAAGACCAGGAAGAAGCACCCGGCTCCTGGCTTCAGACTGGCGCAGCGCCGGCCGTAGTGGCCATTTGGGGAGTGAACCAACGGGAAGGAAGACCTTTCTCTCTGTCTCTCTGTCTCTCTCTCACCGTCTGTAACTCTACCAGTCCAAAAAAAAAAAAAAAAAAAAAAAAAACTGGTCAGGATTCAGTTGTGGGGGCTGCACCCCAGAGACCCCAGCCCACCTCCTCATTTCCCAGTGGCCCCACCTCTGAACACCATAGTCAATGACGTCTTTGCTTTCTCAGTGCCACGGACCTAAGCCTTTGGGGATGAAGTTCCTGCAGGGGCTCAGGGACTACTCCCAGCACTGGGGAATAGAGAGACACTTGGTGCAGTGGTTAAAATGCTTGGAGGGGCCAGCACTGCCTTGGCAAATAAAGCTGCCTCCATCCCATATGGGCACCGGTTCAAGTCCCAGCTGCTCCACTCACCATCAGCTCCCTGCTGGTGCACCTGGGAAAACAGCAGCAGATGGCCCAGGTGTTTGGGCCCCTGCACCCATATGAGAGACCCAGAAGGAGCTCCTGGCTCCTGGCTTCAACCTGGCCAAGACCTAGCTGTTGCAGCCACTTGGGGAGAGAACCAGTAGATGAAAGATTCTCTCTTTCTCTGTAACTGTGCCTCTCAAAAACATAAAAATCATTTTTTAAAGAAAGACACTTGGGACACATACGCTGGTGCCTGGAGTCAAGACCTGGCTGTGCTCCCCATACCAGGTCCCTGCTGATGCACACCCTGGGAGGCAGCAGTGGGTCCCTGTCTTCCACGTGGGAGACCCGGATGGAGTTCCAGGCTCCTGGCTTTGGCCTGGCTCAGCCCCCAATATTGCAGGAATTTAGGGACTGAACTGGCAGATGGGAGATCTCTGTCTCTCTGCCTTTCAAATAAATACACCAAGAACTCGACTGGCCTCACCAGTGTCAGTCAAACCTCTCTCATCTAAGATCTACCCTTTCCTGATGCACCTCTGGGCTTCTGTGGTCTCCTCTGGGGGCGGGGATAATGCATGGATCTCCTTAGGGAGTTTCCTAGGCTGTCATGTGTAAAGTGCTTAGTAGATTCTGAGCACTCACAAGAGGCTGAGGATACCTCCACCCTGGCTCTCTGCTCCCTCCCTGCCTCTCCTCCCTGGATGGCAGCCAGGTGGGCAGGTACAGGGCTGGTCTCCTCACACCTGTGCACCCTGGGGTGCGGGCTGCTTCCAGGCCTAGAGCCGCCAGTGCTGGAGTGTGTGGAAAAGGACCACGTGGAGCCGGATCGCGTGTAAGTGTCTGCCCTGCATTGGGGAAGGGACTCCCGGGGTGGGGGTGGGGGTGCTGGCTGAGAGAGGGAGGGCGGGGAATAGGAGGCATGGGTAGTGTGAGTGGCTGTGCCCAGCCACCACCCCTGTCAATCTCCCATACTCACCATCCCTCTCCTGGGGGAGGGACCAGAGGCGATCTCAACACAGCAGGCTGGGGCCCATCTCGGGGGATGCCTCTGTGATCCAGAGTGGATCTGGAGCCGCTTTGACCCCTCCCTAACCTCCCACAGGTTGATGGTCCAGCAAGTGCTTCATGAACTTCGCCAGTATCATGGGTAGGTGGGCAGGGGTCAGGTGTAGGGGCAGGTATAGTGGAAGGCAGAAATGGAAGACAGGTACAAGAGCTGACAGGTAGGGAGGACAGCTGTTGGGGATAGGCCTAAGAGTGGCCAGAGGGGCCAGTATTCTGGTGCACTAGGTTAAGCTACCACCTGTGATGCTAGCACCCAATATGGGCAGTGGTTCGAGTCCCGTCTGCTCCACTTCAGAAAGCAGAGGAAGATGGCTAAAATGCTTGGGCCCCTGTCACCCATGCGGGAGACCCAGATGGAGTTCCAGGCTCCTGGCTTCAGCCTGGCCCAGCCCTAGCCATTGCAGCCATCTGGGGAGTGAACCAGCAGATGGAAGATCTCTTTGTCTCTTCCTTTCTCTGTAGCTCTGCCTTTCAAGTAAATAAATAAATCTTTTTTAAAAGAAAAAAAAAGAGTGGACAGAAATGGGGGATAGGTACAAGAGTGGACAGACACGGGAGACAGGTGAAGAAGAGGACTGTAGGAGACAGGTCGAGGAGAAGTGTGGCAGACAGGCGTGGAGATGTAATGGGACACAGAGACGTAGAGAAGACAGAGCTGTGGGTGGGAACTGGGAACAGCAGAGCTGGAGAGGAACAAGCCACTGCAGCCCCTTGGCACCGCTGCAAACGACATTAGGTGCATTTGCCTAAGATCCTGCAGCTTGATAGATTATCTGCCTGCCTGCTGCACTGGCATTCTCCCGCCAAGATGTGTCACTGCCATCTGCCAGAAACCCACCCCCTGCCGACACCGTGTCTGTGGACAGGTCTACAATGGCATGGCCCAGCGGGCTCTCAGACATGGCACCTGGCATACACCAGCGCACTGAAGCTCTGAGGGGTGGGAGAGGAGGAAGCTGGCGAGGGAGACCCTTGACCCACCCGTCTGTTCCCTCTGTTTCTCCTGCAGGGCCCGGCAGAGGGCTCACATGTCTGCCAGCCCTGGGGGAGCCCACTCCAGCCTCACCTGGTTTGAGTTCCTGTCTGAGTGAGTACACAGAGCTGCTGCAGGTGGGGCCAGCGCTGGGTTGGAACAAGCACTTACCAATAGCCTTCTCTATAGGACACCATGTGCTGTGGACAGGAGCTGAGGTCCCCCACCAGGGAAATGGCCAGGACTGCTGGGGAGTCAGGGAAGGGAGGACATCCTGGGAGGGCAGAGGAAGACTTCCTGGAGGAGGTGACAACCCTGAGCTGGGTTCTGAAGGAAGAGCAGGAGTTTGCCATACAAGGGCTCTTCAAAAATTCCTGGAGGAGTAGGCACTTAGCCTGGTGGTTAAGGCACCCGCATCTTACATCAGTGTCTGGGTTCAATTCCTAGCTCTGGCTCCTGCCCCCAGCTTGCCATCAATGCAGATCCTGAGAGGCAGCAGGGATGGCTCAAGTGGTGGGGTTCCTGTCACCCATGTAGGAGACCTGGGCTGAGTCCCTGGTTCCTGGATTCAGCCACCATGGGCATTTGGGGAATGAACCAGTGGATGAGATCTCTGTGTGTGTGTGCATCTGCCTCTGTCTTGCAAATAAATAAAATATTTTTTTAATTTCTAAAAATTAAGTAAATTTTGGTACAAAATAAATTGAAATTGTATCACCAAGCAGCATTCAAAAAATTCTTGTGAAATGCATATTACAAAAATCTATGATTTCAAAGTCTTTTGGCACCAAAATAATTTTTTTTATTTTCTAAAAAGATTTATCCATTTATTTATTTGAAAGGGATAGTAACAACAGAAAGAGAGGAAGAGGAGGGAGGGAGGGGGAGAGAGAGAGAGAGAATGAGACCCTTTCATCTGCTGGTGTACTCCCCTCCCCAAATGGCCACAACATCCAGGAGTCAGGAACTCCATCTGGGTCTCCATGTGGGTGCAGGTACTAGAGCCATCATTGCCCTCCCAGGTGCATTAGCAGGGAGCTGGATCAGAAGCAGAGCAGCCAGAACTTGAACTGGTGCTCCCATATGGGATGCTGGCTCTGCAGGTGGCAGCTTCACCTGCTGCACCACAACACTGGCCCCTAAACATATCTTTTGATTCTATTTTTCCATGAACACTTTGAAGTACCTGGTAAGTATTAAATAGAGTGTTGCAGGGGAAGGGGTGTTGGCCGTCTGGGGGTGGGGGAAGGACTTGGCTGTGCCGTGAGGATGGAGCATGCATGGGGAGGTGCAGGATACAAGAAGAATGGGCAGGATTGAAAGGTCAGCCAGGTATGGGGCAGGGGAGCCTGGGTGTGAAGGAGAAGGAGGAATCAGAAGTAGCCAGAGTGAGGATGTCCAAGCTAGGTCCATCGAGGGACCTCCAGACCGAGAGACCACCTGTAAAGCCCATCCCTGGGGGCTTCTGGATGTTTGTTGAGTGAAGGAGTGAAGGAGAGGAGGAGGAAGAGAGGGAGTCGGGGGCCATGCAAGGGGTAAGCAGAACTGGGAGTCCTCGGGGAGACAGGCTCAAGGAGCATGTCACAGGGCTGTCTCAGAAGGGCCTGTGTCCCCCTGCCCCCCACCCAGGAGTGAGGATGGCTCCTGCAAGAACGAGAAGAGCGACAAGAGCACCAGGGTGAAGCGTAGGCTGAGCTCCCTCCGCAGCCGAGTCACCAGGCAGAAGGAGAAGGTGAGGGCCAGGGTGGGGCAGGGCGTGGCGGGGAAGCTCTCTCTTTCTCTCCCACCCCCCCCCCCAAGCCAGGATGCACCGGGCATGAAGGGGCAGCCCCTGCAGAGGACATGCTAACACCCACCTCTGTCCCCCGCACAGGGAAAGAGCCCGATGCATTTGAAGGACAAGGCCCCGGACGGCCGGGAGAGGCGGGAGTGCATCAGTGGGCACCAGCTGGTGCAAGGGACCTTCCTGGGCCACTCGAGCTGCCCGCTGTGCGGCAAACCCTTCCTGAGTGCCGGTGAGTCAGCTGGGCGGCCAATGCCCGCCTCTGGATGGCAGGGGTTTTCCTTCTGCTCACGCCACTGGCTCCTCTGCTGTGTTGGTCTTCGTTTCACTTCAGCCTTGCCTGGCAAGGGCAGACCTCAGTGGCTCCGAGGGAATAGGAGCTCTGGGGTTATCTCGCAATTTGGCAAAACTCCTTTTAGCATCATAGCATTGGCCCTGGCAAGAAGTCCTGAGAAGTACTAATCAGGGATCTCGCTCCATATTCCCCAGCCTTGGTTTGTCTGATGTTTTCTCATAGGCACACGGAGGATGTGTTGGGGACTTTGGGACCTTGTTCCATTGTGTCAGGAGTACAGGCTAGCTGCCTGATGTCCCTGGCGATGTTGACCTTAATCACCGGGTTAAGGTGACGTCTCTCAGGTCTAGTTTTCCTTTTTCTTTCTTTATTCTTTGGAAGCTAATCCTGACATCCAGCCCACCCTCAGGGTGGCAGGAATTAAACTCTGGTGTTGGAGACATCATTTGATTTTTAGGACAAATCTTGGAAATGGGGGAAGATTTGAGTTTGTATCGAAGAAACAATGTGCAGCTCTTAGCAAGGTGCCTGGTAGGAATGAAGAATGGTATCTTTTATCTTCCTCTTCCTCCTCCTCCTCTTCCTCATCACGTGATGTTCTGGTTGTCTAAAGGCTTTTGGCCGGGTGGAGGCAGTGCCTGCATTTAAATCACAGAACATAGCCTTGTGCTCTGACCACCCCCCCCAGCTGTGTCAGAAGGCACACAGCACCAGAGCACCTGTGTGTCACTCCCAGCAGGCTGAGAATGGGCGCCAACTCAGTATCACTCCCCCAGAGACCTGCCTGCCACCCTGGGTATTCAAAGCTGGACATTACTATCTGTCAGGTAGAGGGAATGACCTTGTGCTAGGTTAACTGGAAGGGACAATGAGTCATATACTGCAGGTAATCAGGGGAGGTGTGTCCCTAGGGCAAAGCTGTGGTGCCTTCCCAGGGGCCAGCCCAGTGACCAAACACCATTGCTGATGGTCCTGCTCCTGATGTTGACCTTCATGGTCTGAGCCCACCCATCCTTCCATCCTCTCTCCCATGGCTCAGCCACCCGAGACGACTCCAGCCCCCACCCCTGAACCCTTGTGCCTGTCCACGCACACATACCACCTGTGCTTGGCTCATTCAGCACTGCTCCTGGAAGCCCCCACTGCCACCTGACTCTTACCCTTTCATACAAAGCACAGGTGCACCACCCACAGGACACCTGAGTGTCTCCTAGGCCAGCCACTCTCAGCCAAGGGCCTGAAGAACAACTGGATCAGACGTCATCAGGACCAGAGGGAGCTCCTGGCATCTAATGGTAGAAGCCAGAGATCTAGTTCAATGATCCTCTAATGCACTGGGTTCCCCCACCCCAGCCCCAGTCCCGCCAAACGCCACCGCAGAGAATTATCCAGCCCCAATTGTTGAGAGTGCCAAGTCTGGGAAACCCTGTGTCCCCTTAGCTCTTAGAGGGACCCAGACCCTCACTCAGGACTCTAAGTGCAGAATGGGTGGATGAGCCTAAAAAAGCTGAGGGACTGTCCTCCTTCCTGGCAGCCTCCTTAATGGGGAGAAGTGAGCTAATTTGAAGATTTCTAGAACTAATGCAGCTTAGAAGTGAGGCTAGGGATGCCCTCCCACTTAAAATCAATAGTTTCTGATTGCCGTTGGCAGGAAATCCAGAAGCCATAGCAATTCAGAGAAGGGATGCTGTGTTTTCTGATTTATTTATTTGAGACAATGAGAGAGTACTCCTATCTACTGGTTCACTCCCCCCAAATGTCCACAATGTCCAGGATTGGGCTGGCGCTCAAACCAGGAGCTGAGAACTCCATCAGGGACTCCCATATGGGTGGCAGGGACCCAAGGACTTGAGCCACCACTGCTGCCTCCCAGGGTGTGCATTGGCGGGAGGCTGGAGTCAGGAGTGGAGCTGGGTGTTGAACGCAGGCACTCTGATTAGGAAGAGGTGTCTTAGCCACCAGGCTGCACACTCACCCCACAGTGAAGAAGCATTTACCCACCATGAAGCCTCTGACAGTAGCTGTGTCAGGGCTTCTGGCTTCTACTGGGATAGGGCATCTGCTGGGCAAGGGGCTTCAAAAAAGTTCATGGAAAATGTGTTATAAAAAACTAGGCATGGGCCAGCGCCGCAGCTGAATAGGCTAATCCTCCACCTGTGGTGCCAGCACACCGGGTTCTAGTCCCGGTCAGGGCACCGGATTCTGTCCCGGTTGCCCCTCTTCCAGGCCAGCTCTCTGCTGTGGCCCCGGAGTGCAGTGGAGGATGGCCCAAGTCCTTGGGCCCTGCACCTGCATGGGAGACCAGGAGAAGCACCTGGCTCCTGGCTTTGGATCAGCGCGGTGCGCTGGCCACAGCACGCCAGCCGCAGCGGCCATTGGAGGGTGAACCAATGGTAAAGGAAGACCTTTCTCTCTGTCTCTCTCTCTCTCTCTCACTGTCCACTCTGTCAAAAAAAAAAAAAAAAAAAAAAAAACCTAGCCATGGATTTTAGAAGTTTTACATCAAGATACAACTTATCTTTTAATTCCATTTCCATGTGCATGTGTTTGCAGAACCCCCAGTTCCCTAAGCAGGTGTCTTCTCTTGACCATGACTATCAGACTTAAAGTGTGGACTGGGTAGTTGGGGACTCTGTGCCCCAGCTTCAGGACCGAGGGCTCTCAAAAACACGCTGAGTGTGTTTTGAAGCGACTTGAGTTTGGGGAGCTCTTCCTGGCCTGGTTGGCCAACCTGGACCTTTGGTGACAGCTCCATCCCTGGCTACCACCCCACTCTCCCACCTGCAGGGGACTGTGACTGGATAAACAACCCCAGGGCTGGGATGCCTGCTGGCTTCTGAAAGGGTGCTGGCTCTGGAGAAGGTACCTGGCCTGTCTGGAGGTATTTAACAGCAAGAGGGAGAGAGTGGCATGTGTTTCAGACTCTGAACACCTGCTGGAGGTATCTGACAGCATTTATACTGAGAGTATCAGATGGTCTTCAGAATGTCTCTGGGTGACTGAAAGCCTGTTTGAGAGTATCTGGTAGCACTGGCCTGGGTGTCTGGAATGGGTTGGGGTTATTGGTGGCATCTTCCTGGGTAAATGGTGTGTATTGGGGTATCTGGTGGCACCAGCCTGGGCATCTGGCATGTGTGGGGGTTATTGGTTGCACCTGCCTGGGTGTCTGGCATGTGTTGGGAGTATTTGCTGGTACTCGTGTTGGGGACCCTGAGACCACCTGTCAGGTGTGGGATTTATTTTTCCCCAGATCAGCTTTTTGTCGAAACACTGCCACTTCTTCCTCACAACAACCCCTCTCCTCTGATTTTCTGCCGCCGGGGGTGCCCTGGTAGGTACCCCCACCCTTCCACGTCCGCAGGCACCCGCTGATTCCCCCAAGAATCCCACTATCACTCCCCGCCCATCTACCCCTGGGACTCGCTCCCCAGCCGTGCTAATCTCCCAAGCCCTCTTAGACCCCACAAAGTGCACCCCCAACCCACTGATCCCCCTCTAGGGTCTCTCCAACCCCTCTATCCCCGTAGGACCTCCCAGCCCTGCTGATAAACAAAATGCAACCCAACCCCGCAGACCCACCCCTCAGGGGCCGCCGCCCTCCTCCTCCCCACAAGGACCCTCCTCCCGCCTCGGTCACCCCGCCCCGCACCCGCACTTCGCGGCTCAGCCCGTCAGAGAAGCTCCGCCTCGAAGCCACGCCCCCTGGGGGGACCCAACCCCCCTGGGACCGCCTCCGGGGCGGGGCCGCGCACGCGCCCTTCCCCACGCGAGGGCCGCTTGCTTCCGGCTCGGCGCTGTGGGCGTCTGTGGATCCGGGAGGCCGGGCAGAGGCGGCGGCCAGCAGCGGCTGAGGAGTGAACGGAGAGCGGCCTGCGGGGGACTGGGCTGAGGTGAGGGCGGCGAGGCGGTCCCGGAGGGAGCTAAGCCAGGGAAGGAGGTCTGGGTTCCTCCCTGAGGTCGCCGAGGGGGGCGGGACTGCCGGGGCCTCCCGGCGGGCCCTGGACAATTCCCTCCGGCAGGTGCACCCGGCTGCGGCCCAGGCTGCCCGAATCGTGCCTGGGGGCTCCGGGTGGCGCGTGCAGGGTGCGGAGGTGCCGGCGACGCCCGCAGGCCCTGTCCGGGCCAGGGCCGGCCCTGGCCTGGGGCGTCGCACCCTCCCTTCCCCCAGGCCCCGGCCTCACCGCTCCTTCAGGGGTGCGGGGAGACCCTCATCGCGAGCCCTCACACCCCGGAGCGGTGTCCTCCCTACCAGGGGTCGCGTGGGTGCAGAAGCCCTGCGCGGCGGGGGTGCCTTGGGTCTGTCCGGCTCTTTCCAGCTGCTTTGCGGTCTCGGGACCTAGCAGGTGCAGCGCAGCCTTCCAGGGCCCTGCCCAGGTCCTTGCTGCGTGCTGGGTCGTAGCTTGCCTTCCGCTCACCTTTTACCTGTTGCTGCTGTGTCGGAAAGGTGGCTGGCGGAGAAGCTGAAAAGTTTCTTCGAGTTTTACTGCGGAAGCAAAGAGAAAAAGGCAACTTTTTTCTGGCCTTGTGTTCGGGAGAAGAAACTGCAGCCAGTAGCTTTGAAAGGTCCTTTCTGTTTCGCCGAGGTGTGGCCAGCCCGGTGGCTAAGGGCGATTTGGGGATGATTTTTGCAGGTGTCTTCTGGTGAATAATTAATCCCTGAGCTAACAGGAGAAGTGTGGAGAGCTCAGGTGTGATTGTCAAATCAGATCTGGGTTCTGGTCCTAGTTCCAGTCCATACCTGGTTGGCCGTAGCTCTCCTCATCTTTGAAATGGAAACAAAGATTGTTGGGGGGGGGGGGGCGGGGAGGTGCAGGGGTCTGAGAGGTAGTATGTACAGGCACAGGAGGAATGGTCAATACGTGTTATATAACCTGAGCGTATGTACACGTGTGCTCCTGGGCCTTGTGTTTTTAAGTCGCCATTCAAAGACATAAGGA